ATGACCACTTGTATGTGAATGCTGAAATGATGAAGGTGTCAAGAACAAGCTAAAGAACAAGCTAATTTAGCTCAAGATATTGCTTCTTTAGATTCTTTAGATTGGTTCATCAAGATTAATGATGCATCTCAAGGTAAAATCATATTTGCCGATAATAACAGTCTCAATGCAGAAGGGGTTGGACGTATAGTGTAGTGTTGAAGGATCATAATCATAGGGAAATCATCATTTGATAATGTGTTGTATGTACTAAGTTTGAAGACAAACTTGATGAGTCTCAGATAACTTTTACAGAAAGGATTTGCCATGGAAATGAAAGAGAATGGTTTGAGTATATGTGTTCAAAAATCATAAATTGGTGATTCATGCAAATCTTTATGAAAATAAAATCTTCCGTATTTGTATGAATACACGAAGACATGAATGTTTTGCCACTACAGATAATAGGAATGAGTGATTATGACATAATAGGTTTGGTCATCTGAATTTTCAGTATTTGGACAAGCATAGTCACAAGAATCTAGTTACTGGACTCCCTTCAATTGTGATTCTAAAGTAAGTTTGTAGAGAATGCATTCAATGCAAGCAGGCCAGACTAAAGTTCAAAAAATTTGTGACTAGAAAAGAAACTGAGAAGCATGGTCTAGTGTACTCGATGTTTGCGGGCCTATGTAGGTTGAAACACCTAGTGAAAATAGGTATATTGTTACTTTTATAGATGATTTCACAAAGAAAATGTGGGTTTATTTGTTGAGAAGAAAAAATGATGTGTTATTTGTGTTTGAAAAGTTTAAAAGAATGGTTGAAAGGCAGCGATGATGGAGGTGAATATGCTTCAGCCGAATTTGATGTCTTTTGTGAGAAAGAAGACATCATTCATGAGTTACTCCACCATACACTCCTCAACATAACACCCTACACCACATGAGTTTTTTTTTTAGAGAAGCAGCTAGCACAGCTGCAAATGTGTTGAACAGGTCTCCCACCAAGCATTTGGAGATGATGACACCTGAAAAGGCTTGGACAAGTGTCAAGTCTGATGTAACACACCTTAGGATATTCTGTTCAATGTGTTATAAGCATGTGATTGAGCAACTGAGAAAGAAATTGGATGATAAAAGTACACCACAAAATTTGGTTGGTTATCATGTGACAGCTGGATACAAACTATTTGACTTCATCTCAGAACAAGTGTCAATTAGTAGGGATGTCTTTATTGATGAGTTAACCAGTTGGACATGGACAACCACCAAAGAGAATTTAAATGCTTATAAAGTATTATTTGAAGATGAAAATCAAGTGGAACAGAATATACCTGTTGATGATGGTGCGAGAAGATAATCCAGAATTACGCAACTCTCATCTTATCTTCATGATTATGCAGTGTTTAGTGAATCAGTTGTGTCAGCAAAGAGAAATCTAGTGTATTTTGCACTCATTGTAGAGTCTGAGCCAAAGAAACAACCAGAGAGGTTCATTGGTGAAAAGTTATGAAGGAGGAAATTGATTCAATTGAAAAGAATCAGAATTGGGAGCTTGTTGAGTTGCCACTAAACAAGAACCCAATCGCACTCAAGTAGGTTTATAAGATTAAAGTAAATCCAAAGGGTGAGATTATAAGATACAAAGTAAGGTTTGTAGTCAGAGGCTTCTTATAGAGAGCTAGAATAGACTATGGTGAAGTTTATGCGCCTATTGCTAAAATCGAAACCACCATATTAGTGGTTGTTATTGTCAAAAATTATAATTGATCCTTATACTAGTTAGATGTTAAATCAACTTTTATGAATGACCCTCTTTAAAAAGATATTTATGTCCAGCAGCCTAGGGGATTTGAGCATAAGAGCATAAAGTGTATAGGTTGAAAACGACCTTATATAGGCTTAAGCAAGCACCAAGAGCATGGAACAAGCGAATTGATGATTTCTTGACAAAATTGACTTTGTTAGGTGTATGTTCGAACATGGAGTCTATGTAAATGTCTGGGAGAACAATAACAAAGTTGAAAAAAATCAGCATATGTTTATATGTTAATGATCTTTTGATCATTGGTAGCAATGAAGAGTTGATAGTTTGTTGTAAGAATGAACTTCTAAAGGAGTTTAAGATGAGTGACTTAGGTAATCTGAATTATTATTGGGTATTAAGTTCAAGCAAACTCCATATGGGATGACTATGCATCAGACAAAGTATGTTTGTGATATGTTGAAGAAATTTAGAATGCAACAAAGTAATCTTGCCAACACACCTGCAGAAGTAGGATTGAAGCTTGAGAAAAATCCTGATGAAGAGGGGATTGATCCTATATAATACCTAAGTATTGTTGTTGGAAGCCTGGGGTATCTCTATAACACTATACCAACTTTACATTTTAATATTGGGTTTATGAGTAAATATATGCAAGAACCAAAAGTATTACACCTTCTTGTTGTGAAGCGCATACTTAGATACCTGCATGGAACTGAAAATTTGAGAATTTTGCTGTCAAAAAAGATGATGAGTTGATGGGGTATTCTGATGCTGATTAGTGTGGTGATAAGAGTGATAGAAATAGCACGACTAGTTACATGTTCTTCCTTGGAGAGACACTAATTTTTTGGAGCTCTACAAAGGAATTAGTAGTGGTTCTCTCATCTTGTGAGCTGAGTATATAGTTGTCTTTGAAACAGTTTGTCAAGTAATTTGACTGAGTTCGTTGATAAAGAAATTGAATATAAAGCAAACATGTAAATTGAAGATGTTGATTGATAACAAATCTTCAATAGATCTTGCCAAACATTCAGCCTCTCATGGTAGAAACAAACACGTTGAGACCAGATTGCACTTCATCTGTGAGCAAGTTTCAAATGAAAAACTGGAGATTGAACATTGCAAGTCTAAGATACAACTTGCTGACATTTTGATAAAAACTTTGAAGTTTGAAAGATTCAAAAGTCTTATCATTTTGATGATGTATCTCTTTTAGTTTGAGGAGGGGTGTTAGTCAAACCAATTTTGTCTATGTTATATGATTGTCTCTTTTATTATTAGTAATTACATAATTATTTTGTATATAAATACATTTTTTTTATCCAATTAATATTATTGAGACATTACATAAATCACAAACACATTTATCTTTGAAATATTTTTCTCTATTTTCTTGTTTCTATTTGATCAATCAATATTATGTTACATTGAAATTAATAAAAATAATATTAAGTGATAAAAAATATTAAATAAAAAATATATTTTGAATAATAAAATATTTATCTTATATATTTATAAATAATAAATTATGTTAATTATTTATAATTTTTAATATAATAATAAATACGTTTCTCTTATTTAGAAAATTTTGATATACAATAATAATTATTTACACTTCTCGAATAATATTTTTTCTTTCTATGTATATGTCAGATGAACAGAACGGATTACGGAGGTCAACAGGTCACGACTTCTCGAATAATTTTTTTTTTTGTCTTTATATCTCACATGAAGTCGGACGAATTTACGAGGGCCAAGCCCCTCCCTATATATATAAACCATTATTATTTAAGAAATAAATAAAAATAATTTTAGAAATATAAATCAATTTTATTTTATTTTAATTTTAATTTATAATAAATATTATATTTATTCTTTTACATAATTTATCATTTATATTTTATTTTTCTTTCTTTATTCTATCTTCATATTTTCATCTCTCTTCTTTTTTTCAACTCTTCATTTTCATAATTCAACTTTTTCTACACATATTCACTTTGTCTACAATAAAAATAAAAGAAGAATACCTTTTAATAATTTTCTTGAAATAAAAAACAGTAAATAAAATTATTTGTTTAATATTTGTGTTTTTATCGTAACAATTTAATACGTACAATATATATAATTTAAAAATATAAAATATGAATATAATTTTTTATTTATTAAAAAATTACTTAATTATATTAATATTTTATTATGTGAAAAAAAATTGTTTAAATTTTAAAAATAAAAAAAATTATAAGCTCATTTCTATATATATATATATATATATATATATATATATATATATATATAATATGAAATAAAATTAATTTTTAAAATTTTAAACTCCGTTAACAATATTGAACTTATTTTATATAATAATTAATTTTTATATATTTAATTATTCTAATTCCATCTATACAAATAAGAAGTACAAGCGAATGACTTGCTCTGACAACCAATTACAAAATTTATCAAGTTAAATTAGACATTTTAATATAAATAATAATAATAATAATAAATTTTCCCTCGTCCTCTAATTTATATTTTTAAAAATAATAAGAATATTACTTGTATAAAAAAATTAAGTTTAATAAATTTCATATATAAAGAAAAAAATATATATATATATATAATGGTTTGTAAGTCGATTTATTATAATATATAATATTTTATTGTTTAAATTCAACAAACAACTTAGTTTAAGTTTGTATCTTGATTCGATTTAAAATTTAAATTTTAGACATAGTTTATTATTTCATAAAAATTAAACTAAATTACAAATTTAATGTACATATATGATTTAAATTGGTTTATGGACTAAATAAGTGGAATTAAAAATAACTCAAATTCAATTTAATTATTTAACAAGCAATTAAGTTATACTTGTTTTGTTTATGATCATAGTTTAACGAATCAATTAATGAATTGACTTTTCATAGATTTAAATCTTAAGGCTCTAAAAAGAAAGAAAAAATCTTTAAAAGGTAAAATAAACCCTTAAAATTGAAATGTTGATGTATTATTAAAATCAAAACCGTGTATTAAATTTTAAAATTAAAGATAAAAAGTGAGAAATTGAAACGTAGAAGGTAAATTATGTTTAATCACATTCAAATTAAGAAAACAAAAGTAATTCTAACATAAACGGTACACCACGAGAGTGGGTCTCACTCCCATATATCTGCTCTTTCCTTAAAAAGCCATCACTTTCACTCAATAAAGAACCTTCACACCCATCACACTCTCACATTTCCTTAACCATTCTCATGGCCCTCATTCGCCACCGTTGTTGCCCTAACCTCCCCCATCTGGAGCTCTCTGAGCGACGCCCCATTTTCTCTCTCCCCTCCACCGCCACTATCAAACCTTCCAATGACGATGCCATCACCATTGCTGACCTTGAAAAGCTCGCTATCCTTGGCTATGGTAATGGCGGCACTGTCTACAAGGTTTGCCATAAAGCCACCTCTGCCACCTTTGCACTGAAGATTATCCGTAGCAACATTGACATCAACACGCGCCGTCGTGCCCTTACAGAAATCTCAATCCTTCGTCGTGCCACCGACTGCCCCAATGTGGTTCGTTTCCATGGTTGCTTCGAGAAGCCCATTGGAGAACTGGCGATCCTCATGGAGTACATGGACGGTGGCAGCCTTGAGACTGCCCTTGCCACCCACGGCAAGTTCTCCGAGGAGAAACTTTTCTTAGTGGCTCGTAGCATCCTCAATGGCCTTGCGTATCTCCATGCACACAACATCGTTCATCGCGACATTAAGCCAGGAAATATCCTTGTAAACACCAAGGGTGAGGTGAAAATTGCAGACTTTGGAGTAAGTAAACTCATGAATCACACCTTCGAAATGTGTTACTCTTATGTTGGTACAAACGCTTACATGAGTCCTGAACGGTTCAACCCAGATGCTTATGGAGGGAGTTATAATGGTTTTGCTGCGGATATATGGAGTTTTGGTTTAACCCTTTTTGAACTCTTCGTTGGTCACTTTCCATTTCTTGAACCGGGTCAACGACCCAATTGGGCCACCCTCGTGTGTGGCATTTGCTTCAATGACCCACCGACCATGCCGGAGACTGCGTCACCGGAGCTTCGCAACTTCATCGCGTGTTGCCTGAAAAAGGAGCCTAGTGAGAGGTGGTCAACAACTCAACTCTTAAATCATCCGTTTATGTGCAAAGACTTCATAACTTGTTGAGTTTTAACTTTAATTTTAATCATAACTAAGATACTGAGTTGGTGAATTGTCTTTCATATTCGACTTTTTTTTTTTTTTTTTTTCTTTTCAGTTCTACGAAAAGAAATAATAGATTAAAACTATGGATCATTACCATAACTTATCAAGGAACATGTTTGTCATATAAATATTAACTTAACACGTAAAATGAAATCATCTTTACTGTTATTTATTAAATTATTTTTCAGTGTTTGTTTGTATTAAAAAAACTATTTATTATTATTATTATTATTATTTCTATAATAAAAAAATATTAGTTTTACTAATAAAATAATGTATTAATATTTTTTTAATTTTATTTAAAACTGATTATATAATTATTGCAACTTAATATTATAATTTATTAGGATAAAGCTAATACTCATTGAATTGCTTCTTGTAATACGTAGTAATAAAAAGTAGAGAGTCACTTAGACTATTTTAAGAACTATTTTTGTATACATTTTTATATTTTATTATTTGGAGTACACCTTTTGTTCTTGATTTTTCTTTTCTTTTCTTATTCATTTTTCTTGGTATATTAAATGATGTAAAAAAAACTTAATGCAAATTTGGCTCTTATATGTGCTGTCTTTATTTCTTATATACGAGTAGTGTAAGAATTTTCAGATAATACATAACATTAAAAAGAAGAGAAAGAAGTTATCTTTATGTATAAGTTAATATTTTATGAAAAAATCTCATTTTTTAAAAACATTTATATCTTTAATGAAGTAATAAGTGAGAGATTTATTTTGACAAGTGAAAATAACCCAAAAAACTACAATATAGTCCTGAAGTCTAATAATATATATTGGATAATTTAAGTATGAGTTTAAATTTGATGTTTAAAAATAAAAAAATTTGATATTATATATATAAAAAAAACCGTGTAGTCAATCTTTTCTATGAATTAGACTTAAATTTCATCAGTATTTTCTCTCCCCAGTAAATCTCTTTCAGAAAATTATGTTTATAAACTCAGAATATTTGAATTATATGGATTATTCTCAACCAATATCTTATTTTAATACATATTTTTTAATCATATAACGTACAATTTAGTTTTAAAACTAACCCGAAGAACTTCAATTAAGACAATGCAGTTTCAGTTTTATATCAGTTTAATTTAGTTCAACTTTTTTAACAACACCAACTGAGGTGGTGTTGTGAACTACTCCCTCAATTTCTTTTTAAAATTCGAATTTTTTTAAAGATTTTTTTTTCTAATTATTTTTCATTTATAAAATATAAGATCACATTAATTACTTTTTTTATCAAATATATTTATAGGTTTTTTTTATATTTTTAAAATAATTTACACATATATTTATATATTATATATAATACTTGTATCAAATTTTATACAAATATTTATATTATATATTAACCATATTAGTTGTAATATGTATCATCACAGTAATAAAAATTATATTTAAAGAAACATATAAATTATGTTGTAAATAAAATCATTTATAATTTAAAAACAACACTACCATATATTTAATATATATATATATAATGATAAATTATACTGTTACTTTCCCCATCAAATCAATATATTTTTTCTTATGTTTAATTTTATTTTATATATCGCCCTATTAAAAGTCAAATCCCAATTATGTGTCTTTGTTTATAGGATATACGCGTGTTCTTGGGTCATTATATTATCTTTATTGATAAAATTATATAAAAAAAATAGATCAATTAAAAATATATCAAATTATGTTAGGAACAAATATATATATATATATATATATATATATATATATATATATATATAATTGAATAAAATCCCTTTGAATCAACATGGATGATGACTCAGCAACCAATCAGTGAGTAAGCATAGACGTAAAGGCTATTTATTTATCTAGAATAAAACGTTTTATGAATATTGAATTTCCAAACAATTGATTTTATATTATTATTATTATTAATTTATTAATAAGTTATTTTTTATAGTAATAAAATGTTTCTCTGTTTTTATTATTGTGATATATATAATTTAAAAAAAAATTAATGAATAAAAATATTATACAATTTATATATATACATAGTTAAAGAAAATCAGCAAAAAATATTTTATCTCACAGGGATTATCGTATTATATAAATTAAAATCAATGAGATTTAATACTTTAATTTTTTTACTTGGATAAGAATATATATTAGTCGCAACATTTTTATAAATTAAAAGAAGAATAATCAGAACTGCATCTTAGAAGGAAATATAATAAATATTGTGTTTGTGATTTTTTTTATCTAACATAAGTTGATAAATTTTCTATGAATAAATAAATATTTTACTGAAAACATTACTATAATTACCTTTCGGATTGATGCTTCTTATTTGCAATGCTATAGAGTTTAATAATAATAAAAAAAAAGTTTACAAAATTTATAGAATAAAAAAAGATTTTTAATTAATAGGAAGTCACACGTACTAATAAAAATAAAATAGCAGACAAAATATTGTTATTGAAGAGTGAAAACACAAAGTGATAGTATACAAAATGTATTGAATTGAAGTTTTATTCTCATATTTGATATATATTCTCTTTAATTAATCTTTTATTTTCTAAATGTATACATGTCACTTTTCAATACATTTCTATTTTTGCTACTTTTCTTCAGTTCATTTTTCCTTAATCACGTAAACATGTTTGATGATTATAATTTTATCAAATAATTGCTATAATTTTAATCCAAAATATTGTAATTGTTTTAAACATTTATTAACACATTTTTTCTATATTTTTTAAACAATTTCGTTTTTTAGAAAAAATAAAATAAACATGTATTATAAATATTAAATATAATAAATATTTAATTTAATTCTTAAACATAATAAATATTTTATTGTAATTATTAAATGTGGTAAATATTTATTGCAACTGGTAAACATAATAAATATTTATTGGAATGATTAAATGCAATAAGCATTTATTATAAATATTAAATGCAATAATAATTATTATAAATATTAAATACAATAAATATTTATTATAAATATGAAATATCTATGTTAAATACTAAATGCAGTAAACATTTAATAAAAATATTAAATGTAAAAAATATTTATTACAAATATTTAATGCAATAAATATTCATTACAATTATTATTGACATAAATATTTATTCTAAATATTAAAAATAATAAGCATTTATTCTAAATTTTAAATGTAATAAAAATTATTATAAATATTAAATTTAATAAATATATATTATAAATTTGAAAATATGATAGATATTTATAACAAGTATGTTTCATAAATATTTTTAATAATAAATATCATATATATATATATATATATATATATATATATATATATATATATATACCATGAATAAAATATTATTTATTATATTTTAGTAAATGCTTATGTATATTTATATTTCAATGCCTATATTTAATAGTAAGTACAATATAGTTAATAATAAAGATAACTACATATAGTTATATATTATTTTTAATTTAATAGTAATTGTAAAAACCCATGATTTTAAAATTGAGCAGGTTCAGACACATGTTCAAGATTTAAGTAGAATTTAATTAGAGTATAATCAGATTTAATAAAATAATATTTTTATAATATAATAAATATATAATAAATTTATTAATATTAATATTTTTTAAAAATAATAAAACTTACAATAAAAATTATAAATATAAAATATATTAGACAGTATAAGATATAATTATTAAAATAAAATAAAAATATAATAAAATAATTATTATTTAAAGTTTATATAGTTAGTATTAAATATGAAGAAGAAAAAGAAAATATTATATATCTTTTAAAAATTATATTAAAAAAATTGTCATAATTTTTGTTTTAAATCGATTCTACTAAAAATCTGATTAATTTTTTTTATTTTATTTCGATTTAACTAAAATTAAGTTATTTAAAAATAACTGATGAATTTCTAATCCAATTCTCCATTTAACTATTCAACAAACTACTACTATTCCAATGATAAAAACAACAATGGATCCGGTACTCAATTCAAGTTCAATAAAATCAATGCTCCTTTTAAAGTATTTTTAGCGGGTTTGTCCTTTAAAATAAAAAAAATGTTGTAATTCCCCTTATGCATGTTGTTGGAATTACAATTATTAAAAAAATATTATTAAAACTTGAATATATTTTTAATAATTGTTTTATTTTGTAAAATATGCGTCAGTAAATAGGTATATAAATAGTAAACTAACATATGGAAAATTTTGGGTATTAATATATTTATTTAACTAATTTTATATTATTTAAATTTACGTAAACATTGCTTTAAAGGGTATATATTCGCATTCATCTATAATTACAATATATACGTATAGTTGTAATGAAAGATATTAATAATCAAATATTTAAAATTAGACGTCGCAATCAATTGCTAGTTTTTTTTTTTTTTTTAATATACGGGAAATAAATTGTTAACATTTAAAAATGTTTATAGTAATTATTGTGTGATTAAGTTGTCTTAACAATGATCTTAATAGTGTTTTAATTAATATAATTCTATATGATAGGCACGAAGTGGCAGTGAAGGTTCATTGGGTAAGCATGTTTTGTAGATACATATATATTAGGTACCATTGAAATGAGTTATCAATGTTTTAATTTTATAAAATACATGGCTTTCATGTTTATGAATAAATATTATGTTTATTAGTGGTTTAATGAAAAATTATTAGATTCGTGGGGGCATGGGTTCAAATACAACTGTAACACACTGATTAAAAATTCAATGAAGCCATTTTATTAGTATAATTGCGACAATTAGTATAAAAAGTTATCAATTAAAAACTATAACATCTTTATCAATACATATTTGTTGTGAATATTGTATTTATTTATCACCTTCATTTTCTTTTCGTCTTACACCAACCTGAATAAAGTGTTGCACCGGTACAATACCAGAATATTATTATATTGTTATTGTATGTGTTAAGTTCTTTCTAAAAAAAATCATGGTTTCTTACATTTTACACTAACATGTCAATCTCAAACATAATATTTTTCTTTGACTCAATGCAAATATTTTTTAGTATTAACCCTTTTTTTTCTGATTAGTTTAAATTTTACGTGTTATTGTAGGTTAATTCCTACTTTTTCTTTAACACTTCCTACACCCCGTAAATTTTGCCTACATTTCCATATTCAAGATAAATACCTAAAATATCTTCTTATAATTTTATTTTTTATCCTAATTTCTTTTACTTGTGTATAATTCGTGTACTTCCATCCCTTGACACTTCTATCATTTGATTATTTAATATTTTTGTGCTATTATTTTTGTTGAAGATTTTTTCCAATAATTAAAGATAAGTAATCGTTAATATTATGTATGAATTATATATTTATGTACAAATTACACAAACATATCAAAATTGAAATAATGTCGCAAAAAAAATTCAAAAACACCCAATCCAAAATATATTTTCAAATTATATTTTTTGAGAACACCTATTATGAAATCCATTTTCTAAAACACATTTCAAACTGAATATTCTAAAATATGTTTCTGGAAAGTTAATCCAGGATGTATTCTAAAAATAAGATTTAATTTAATTACGGGATGGAGGAAGTAAAATTCAAACTTTAGTTATAAGATGTTATTCTATTATTCTGGCACCTAAATTATGAATCAAAATGAACTACAACTAAAAATCTTAAATTTATTGTATTATTTTTGCAAAATTAGTTTTCGTTTATTAATGAGGAGGGAGAGGTAGAGAATAGACTTTGTCAAGAGAGATGCAGAAAACAAAAAATATTAGAGGTGAGAAAAGTAAAAAGAGTGGTATAATAACATGGATTTTGTGGGCTTTTTCCGAAAGGATAAAAAAGTGTTTTTCTTTTTTGTATCTGATATTCATCTAAAAATATAATATTAATGCAAATAAGTTTTGAATTCATTATTCTGAAATTTTAATATATATGTGAACAATTATTTTTGGATTTAATTTCCAGATATTTTATCTATTAATCTTTTTGAAATAATAAAATTATATTTTAAATTTCACATTTCACATTTAAAAAATTAAAAAAATTATATATTTTCGAATCTATTCACCTAAAAGTTTTTCAGATTTATTTTATCCGTCCGTAATATTCTGTAATATCTTTTTGAATCACTTGTTCTATAAAAGTAAGAATATTATTATTTTTTAAATACCTATTGCTATTTTTTTTTAATTTTAATATTTAGATTAGCGACATGGAAACAAATCATTCATTCAGATTTTTGAAATTATCTTTTCATAAAAAGTATAATTTTTGAAAAATTATACAGACAGAGTGTTTTTTTTTTATTGTATTTATTTTAATTTCAATTAATTGATAACCATGTCATTAGTAAATTAAATATGATTTGTCTAAAAAAGACATAATAATAACTTTTTTTTTATGACATATTTTTAGTTTCTTTTACCATTTATATGTAAGTCATTAACATTTTTATGGACCTTCTAGAAAAAATGAAGAAGGTTTAAATAGCAAATGTCCAAAGCATATATTTCTTGTTGGGCTATATAAGAGCCCACATTATGTGGGCTGCTCTGCAGTGTCAACCCAATGTGCAAAGAAACATTGCGTGTAGTTCGAGTTTTGAGTGTGTTGTCAAATTCAAATGACACATACTTTGACCAAAAATAAACTTGAACAAATCAATACCAACATTTTATTACATTTATCTTGTCATGTGAAACAGATAGTAGAAATAAAATATACCACAGAAAAAGAAGAAGATTGTGATGGAGAGAAATAAATAAAAAATATAACAAATATTATGAAAAGTCAAAATATAAAAATACATGACTTGTTTTACTCGTTAAATACAATAAATTAATCATTTAATAAAATATAATTATATTGAAAAAGATAAATAATACTCAAATATGCGATCCATCCAATGTAAGACGTTGTCTTGTTCCATGAGAAGAACCTTGATTTTGGAGTAATAACAAATTACTGCAATATGTATAAACATTTTCATTTTTAGTTTATGTTAAATTCTTTATAATTTTAAAATAATAAAATAAATTAATGAACTATTTTTTTCTAACAATTTGTGCTGATATATTTGACTTACGAAATAAGCCAAATAAAAAATATATTAAGAAAACATTTAATATATTTTTTTGTCAACATTTGCAAGGCTTGAAAGTGATATGTGTGGAAAATAATTAATTTAATTTTCACATTAAAAAAAACACAGAAGAAGTAATGAACAATGAATCATAGCAATTAATTAATTAGGAGAAAAAAATAAATAGTGAGTTCATTGTCTTCCGTAAGTTTGTAACTTTTTCCAAATGCAGAAGAAAGCATGTTTATGTTCAATCTCCACACAATCGCTGAATCCAAACCAAACTATTATTAATTTTATGAAATATATTAATATTTTTAATCACATAATTTTCCCCAAAAGCCTCATAATGTGTTTCATAGTTATACTCACATGCAAATCCATCCTATGAAGCAATTGTTTATAGTTTCTTTATCCCAGACTTATCCTATACAATAAACCAAATGCTACAGACGAAACCAGAGATTCATAATTTCACGTTCTCTTTTGTTGTTTCCAGCTCATAGAATATTATATTTCAGATTCAGAATTTCAGATTCACCTTTTATTCTTCTTCTTCACCGCTTTCTTCCTCTGAGAGCTTTTGCAGAAAGTTGTGATTTTTCCGTTACAAGATGGCATCTTTGAGTATGACCCAGATCAGAGCCGGGAATTGGGCATCTGGGTTTGGCTTGAATTGGGCTGGGAGGGTTCAGGGTAGTCCCAGCAGTGTTGGGTTTAAGGTTTTTGCTTCAGAGACTCAAGCTACAGAGCCTGATCTTAGTGTCACTGTTAATGGGTTGCACATGCCCAACCCCTTTGTTATTGGGTCGGGTCCACCAGGGACCAATTACACTGTCATGAAGAGGGCCTTTGATGAAGGTTGGGGTGCTGTGATTGCTAAAACTGTAAGCTTTTTTTACTTTCATTTACTTACAGCCCCACTTTTCCTGCGTTAGCTTGTTCATTTTAAGAGTTGTTTGGTTTATTGGTTTGTGATTTGTAATTTGTGAATTAAGCTGGAAACTGGAGAGGTTGGAATCTTTTGATCTGATGTTCTGCATAAACTGGATTATGCCATCATGTTAAGCTAATAGTTATGAACTTCTGTTGGTTCTCTTGTTATCAAGTTATTATAGGCCATAGATCTTCATGGTTTGTTATAGGTGCAACTTGTTGATGTTCCTGGTAGATCATCTATTTGTCTCTTCAATCTTCAATTGGTGTTGATTCTGTATACAAAATGCAGATTTTACCTGGTTCCAGAAAGAGTCTTTGGATCTTATTTAGGTTTATTTTATAGTTATACTTTTGCTTTCTTTCTTTCTCTAGTGTGTTGTTGGAGATAACATAAATTTATTGATGAAAGTAGAAAAAGGTTAAACAGGAATATTCAATAAAGTGATAGAGATGCACGCGTGGAAAGTGCGTATGGTGCTACAATACAAATATTAACTCGGTTTATGTGCATATATGTTCGGTACATGGCATGGAAGGAGTATTGACAAATACCGCACAATCCGTCTTCATAGCTTATTATTTTAGCCGTTGAATTATGAGCATTTTCTACTTCTTAAAGGCTGTCTACAGGTGAGTTTCTGTTTGAACAATTCATGAATAGGCAGTAAAAAATCAGAAGCATTAATCTTGAAATTGGTGTCTTTTTTGGTTAATCCTTTGGCTTCCATTGGATAGAAAGTAGCCAAGTTTCTACTCTCTTTTTTTACCTTTCTTTCTTTTAGATCTATTTCCATTGTTTTTATGTAGTTTGAAAGCTTTAATAATGTTAATTATAGCTTTGGGATTATGTGCTGTAAAGTATAATGAATTAATTCGACTAGTTTATTATCATAAGTTCTCCACAATGTGATATCTACCATGGTTCAACATTTTGTTTTTGCCTGCTTTCTACTTCGACTAGTGTTGCCAGACAGTGTAGGTTTCCTGTGAAATTACTTTTTCTCTTTCAAATTTAATCAATTCCCCTCTTGATGCTGTTTCTTTTTTCCTTTGGACCATAAAATTACCTAAAAGAATTAGGAAATTTAATTCATGCCAATAGAATTACCACTATTGGGTTAGAGTGAATTGATGGTGATTTATTGTCAAGAAGTTGATAAGGTCCTGTAAAGTATTGTATTTCACAGATTCAGAAAGGGTCATCAGCCATATAACTGGCCATGGAATGCTTTACATATTACTTTTTGAGATGTGCTTGATGCCAAATATTTTAATGCTATATTTTCTTATGTGATTGTTAGAAACAACAGATATGCAGAAGGCAGAACTGCCCTTTCTGTAAAAGATGTGAAGTGGTTGATTATTGGCTTCTTGCTATTTTTGAACCATACTGGATACATGGATCCTATATATATAGATATAACGAAGGATGATTAAAGGTGTGGAGTTTGGTGTAGTTTTTTTAGCGGTGAATTTCTTGTTTCTTTCAAGATATGGATCAATATAGCTGTTATTTTAATATTTACATTGTTTTGTACTATTCATTTGGAGTTAGTTTTCCGATTGAGATATTAAATTTCTAATTCCATTTGGGATATGTATTCCATTATTTTTAGATGAAATTAGTTCAATTGTGTAAAGAATTCTCAATGAAGGCAATGACTTGTTTTTACATTTTGTTTTAATATTCTATATACTTTTTCTTTATAAGCCCACACTCTGTAACAAAACAACTCTGTACCTCTGTCTAACAGGAGCACACTTATTCCCTTTTTACTCTATTTTGAAAGATTTGGTATTGTTCTATTGCAAGGTTTCACTTGATGCAGCAAAAGTTATAAATGTAACACCTCGATATGCCCGATTACGGGCAGGTGCAAATGGCTCTGCAAAAGGAGAAATTATTGGGTGGGAGAACATAGAACTTATCAGTGATAGGCCACTTGAAACCATGTTGAAAGAATTCAAGCAATTAAAAGAAGAGTATCCCGACAGAATTCTCATTGCTTCAATCATGGAAGAGTACAATAAGGCTGCTTGGGAGGAGCTTATTGATCGTGTTGAGCAAACTGGAGTTGTAAGATGTGTTTCATGGATGTGTTTATGACACTTAACATTTTCCCATCTTGAAATTTCTGGTGGCTGACCTCCTTTTGTTTTAGGATGCAATCGAAATAAATTTCTCATGTCCTCATGGTATGCCAGAACGCAAAATGGGTGCTGCTGTTGGGCAAGATTGTGCTCTTCTGGAAGAGGTTTGTGGATGGATAAATGCTAAAGCCACAATTCCTGTTTGGGCTAAGATGACTCCAAATATAACGGATATTTCACAGGTTGGCTTTTGTATCTTGTCCCTTTTTTATATATATACTCTAACTTTAATACTATATTTTAATGTCTAAGTGAAAACGTAGTTACTTATCAAATTTATGGATTACTACCATTGAAGTTTTGTATTGTGTTTTTTTTTTTTGGAACAGTTGATCCATTGCACCATGCACATGCAGTTGTATACTTTTTATTTATGGACTTGTGCATGTCACAGTTCTAAACTGGCCGTTTACATGTGAAACATCTTAGTGATATTTTTTATGCCAGTTTCAGTTAAGTTAGTAAATGTGTATTTTTCAGTCCATCTTTCATGACTACCATGTTAGTAATTTTGGGGATGCTTTTGTTTATAGCCAGCAAGGGTTGCACTAAGTTCTGGATGTGAAGGAGTATCTGCCATAAATACAATCATGAGTGTCATGGGAATCAATCTCACGACTTTGCGTCCCGAGCCTTGTGTTGAGGGGTTTGCAATCTCACTTACAACAAATTCATAGTTTTGCCTTGGTTTTTCAACCATTCTTATGTATCTAATTTCTCTAAATTTTGTTGCTAGGTACTCAACTCCTGGGGGGTATTCTGCAAAGGCAGTCCATCCCATAGCACTCGGGAAAGTGATGAGCATTGCAAAGATGATGAAGTCAGAGTTTGATAGCGAGAACTATTCACTTTCTGCCATTGGTGGTGTTGAGACAGGTGGAGATGCTGCTGAATTTATTCTTCTTGGGGCAAACACTGTTCAGGTATAATAAACAATGTTTTAGGCCTAATGATGGATACTCACTATTGGGCATTCTATACTTTGATACCCTGGTTTTCTCCATGTGTGTTTAGTGGAAAAAAATGAGTTGATCCAGACACACACTATGTAGATTTTTTTTTTTTTTTTTTTGGATTTAATTTAATTACACTAACAATGTAAAACTTGTTTACGTTATCATCCAATTGTAGATTACCATGTATGATAAGATTGTAAATGTTCTTACATTGTCAGTACATAGAAATTAAACTTTCTTTTTAATTATAGGTGTGCACTGGTGTTATGATGCATGGCTATGGTCTTGTGAAGAAACTATGTGTTGAGCTTCAAGACTTCATGAAAAAACACAATTTTACATCAATAGAAGACTTCAGAGGGTATGGTTTTGAACTGATATGGTTTCCTTCATCCAATATCTTAAACAAACACGGGAAAAAAATGCATGTTTGACTTTTTAACCCTCATTTTTTGTTTAATTTTATATAAAAATCACAGGGTTTCTCTTGAGTACTTTACTACTCACACTGAGTTGGTAAGAAGGCAGCAGGAAGCAATTCAGAAGAGGAAAGCTATAAAGAAAGGCTTGCAATCTGACAAAGACTGGACAGGAGATGGTTTTGTGAAAGAAAGTGAAAGTATGGTATCTAACTGATATCTTCAACAAAATTAAGCAACTTTTCTTATATAATTTTAGATATTCATGCAAATGAGAAAGTGAAGGACATTATCCTTTGTTATTAATAATGTATATTTTATCTTTTCAAGAACATTATATGTTATGTCAGAAAATAATAGAAGTATTTTTTGACAAATTTCTGCAAAGAATATAATACTTGTTACTTTGATGTACTCTAATAGAATGAAGTGCTAAAGAAGAGTTGTCCACATTTAATATTGACTGAGACATGAGAAAATATAATTTAGCTAAATTAATCAGAAATGTAATTTATATAAATGAGAACAAAAAGCTCAACTTCAGGTATTGGTTTAAAATTGAGACTCGTGAATTCTTCATATTCTGCAAAGGGATCTTGAAAGACAACTATCTAGCAGACTAAAACTGGTATCGAACTTCCATTTCTATCTATAAATAAGTCACGCATTGGATACAGTTTTGGTTCGTTGGAAGAAATACTTTCTATCATAACATAACAATGTCACTGCCAACTCCTGAAAAAGTTAAGGTTTTTCTTTTCTCCTTCCATTCCCAATTTCCTCCTCTTTCTTCCAAACCCTACTTCTCTCATTTCCTTTCACTCTCAATCCTCGTTACTTGACCATCACAATGTTCACGACCCTGTCTCCCAATTCAAACATGTTTCATTACTTGTGAAGATGAAGCAGTATCCTTCTTCTATGTCCCTTTCTAATGGAATGGAGTCTGCCATTTGGATAAAATGACCTTTGCTTTCTCTGTATTGGCCAACATTCTCAAACTGGGTAATGTTATTAATAACATTGAATACACTCATCAAAGGTCTTAAGGATCAAGAAGTCAAGAAAGCCCTCAACTTTCATCATTCTCAATTGATTTGTTAAATGAAATGCCATTGAAAAACATCATAGATGATTATACTGATAATATATTGATCATTGATCGATGCATTATCTAAAGAAAGAAGGGTGAGTGATGTCAAAAGTGTGTTAGCTGTGATGGTGAAAGCTTGTAATGTTGTCACCTGTAATAGTTTAATATATGGGTATTGCTTGATTGGAAAAATGGAGAAGATAAAACATGATATCAATGCTATGACCCAAATGAGAATAATTCCTAATCTTTACATCTATAATATCATGATCAATGGATTATGTAAGAGAAAAAAAGAATGAATGAGGGCATGAATCTCTTTGAAACATATGCATATGAAAAATGTATTTGCTGATAATGTGACTCATAAGAGCTTTTCAAGATAGAGGATTGATTAAAGGTTACTGTAAATGAAATAAAATTGATCTGGGTGGATGGATGGAGAAGATTCACTTTTGCATTAGCACACGAAAACTCACGAATGCGGACGTTATTATACACAAACATGATTCCATAAGTGAAAAAACTCACCTTGTAAATATCCTTTATAATCAATAATTCATAATTCATGTAAAATAATTACAATTATTTTACACCATTTATATTATTATATCTAAGGTTATAAAATATTGAATAAAAGAAATTCGGTAAAATATAAATTCACAGTCAATTCACAAAATATGGTTGCCGTTATACCTTATTTCTTATATAAAAAAATCTTCTTCCCTTCAACTAACATGTTTTCAAACAAAGTAAAAATAAAAAATAAAAATAAGAACTCATAAAATCCCATAAATAATATATAAAAAATAAAAATTATAAAATCTTTCTAAGTTTATTTATCCAATTTATTTATTGTTTATGCACAAAATTTAATAAAAATAAATAAATTTGTCTCATATAATACATTTTTTTTCATTTACTTCTTAATTTTTTCTCTTTCTAAGTTTAGTGTTTGTTTTCCTTTTTTTCTTTTCTCACTCTGACTTATTCTTTAATTAAAAATAATAGATTAAAATTTAATAGGGTGAATCTTTTATTATTTTGAATAATAAAAATGTTTAAATGATTCAAAAATACTATAATTTATAATATTATATTTTAAAAATAATAAATTTAAAATATTACAAATATTATTATTATGTTAATTATTAAGAAAAAAATTAAATATTTATTTAACAGTAATTTTTTAATAAATATTATTTTTAAAATTACCTAATCTAACTCATTATTATAATTCAATATAATTATAATTAGATTAAATTATTAAATAAAAAGTATATTTACTTATAAATATTTGACAATTTTTTAATTAGATCAGTAAGTATTTATTGATAAAATAATTTTAAATTAATTATTTACATTGTTATAAATAAAATTATTTATTGTTATAATAAATAAAATTATTTATTGTTATAATAAATAAAATTATTTATTAAGATTATAAATTTAAATAATTAATTAAGATATTATTTAGTTTTAATATTAATTTTAAAATATTTATTTTCAATTTTAATATAATCATTTAATTAAAATACCAAGGAGAAGACCACGGACAAAAACAAGAAACATGAAGTAGAAAAGAAAAATAAATTAGTGAATGAAGAAAAGAAAAACTGTGACGAGAAAAAAAAACAATAAATTGAGTTACTTAATAAATTAATAAAAAAATTATTTAAATAAAATTTTCAAAATATATTATTTACAAGATTTTATATAATAATTTTTCAAGAATCATCATATATTATAAAGCAGCAAAATCATGAATTAAAAACTTAAAAGCAACAAAATGATAAAAAAAGAGAGAGAAAATTTTATTGTTATTTTTTAAGTTGTAGCAGTGAACTGGTGTTATGATGCATGACTATGGTTTTGTGAATTATGTGTTGAGCTTAAAGACTTCATGAAAAAGAAAAAACAATTTTACATCAATAAAACATGAAAAGCAAGCCAAATATGTTATTTCACTGAAATGTTCTACCAACTTAAGAAACCTTTAATTTTGACTTAATTAAAGTTTTATCATTTTAATAATTATATATATATATATATATATATATATATATATATATATACATAATATAATATAAAATTAGGTAACAAATATTTTATATTCTTATTATATTTTTTTAGAATATTTTTTGTACTATTATATGTGTAACAACCGTAAATTCTACTTAAAATTTTTCAATAAATGAAGGAAGAAAATAACTTTTTCACCTAAGAGAGGTATAATAGTTCAGTTTACATATCCAGAATAGTTGAAAAGAAGAAAAGAAAAGAAAACATCATACATCAAAAGTCCTAATTACACAAATGTTTTACACCTAATTACACAACACAAAATAACTCTTTCAAATTTAGGAGGTCTCTACTCCATTTCTCAAATCACTGGGTCTTACTACCACCTGTAGAAGATTTGGAATCTGCTCACGTGTATAACACGATCATAGCAGGATCCCAAAAGATCAAGCACGCAACAAAAGCAAGGGTAAGCTACCATTTGATTAAATATGTAGAACATTGTAACATTGCAAACAACACTTATTAATTCACAAACATCCTAAAACTAGACTCACCGGAGAGTTTAGCATTTTACAATCACAACACACAACAAGACTGACGCTTTCTGGAAAACTATATGGAATTCAGACCAGTAAGGTAGACACCTGATGATGAATATTTGGGGTCCCAGACCCTTAAAATTTCATGGCCCCAGGCCTATAATATCATTTTTTTCCAACCTCTCATCAGAGCAACACATGCATAGGATTGACACTATGTTGTGTCTCCATCGACTTCCCACCACAGATGTCTTCGTCTATATGACTAGGAACATCTTGGAAGTTTGGATACCCTATTACGCCTATCCATAATTCCATACACATTATTCTATACAATACATCAAATCTATCATTTAACAACTATTTCATACACACTATTCTACTCAGGGTTTCTAGAATCAAACCAACATCATGCAATTCAAAATGTCCAGTCCAACATTTAAATTCTCAACTACTATGCAATCATAATTCACTTAAAACGGTACATCATTTCTCCTTCAAACCAACCATACAATTTAGAAATTCAATGATACAAAGATATCTATTTCAAAACAATTTACACTGCAAGATTTCCACAATGCTCACAATACCATATCACATATAGCACGTATATATATCACAAGCATACTCTCATATACATATATCATGTATATATATCACAAGCATACTCTCATATCACATATAGCACGTATATATGCCACAAGCATCTTCTCATATCACATATAGCACGTATATATATATATATATATATATATATATATATACCATAATCATACTCTCATATCACATATAGCACGTATGTATATCACAAACATACTCTCATATCACATATAACACGTATATATATCATAATCATACTCTCATATCACATATAACACGTATATATATCACAATCATACTCTCATATCACATATAGCACGTATATATATCACAAACATACTCATCATTCACTTTATTAAACTTTTCATCAATACAATACAACCAATAAAAATTAAAGAAGCCTCCCTTACCTGAGGGTGATGTTACACGTCAACCTAATTCCAATAAAACCTTAGGAATGCCAAAACACCTAATTTGTACCGTTCTCCCCCAATTTGGAAAACCCTAAAACGAAATTGAAGTAATAAACAAAATTAAACCTGAAAACATGAAATTGGGGAGTGATAGAGTAAGAGGAAACATTTAATTCCACAATTAATTCCTTAAATTCTCAAAACCCCAAATTTTAACTAGCAAAAACCCTAAAATTCAAACTTATTGGAACGAAATTCTAATCGGTGGGTCTTCTGCTATTCTCCGCCATGAGCACAACAGCGGTCTCAGATTCTTGATCGGGGAAGAATAAAGTCTTGATCTGTAGGAGAGAAGGTAGAGCTGAGTTATGGAGATAGGGGATATGTTTGTACGAAGAAGAAGAAGAAAACCAAATTTTCTCTCTCTTCGTCTTTTTGCTTTTCTTTTAATTACAGTATATTACAATACTTCCCAACAATTTAAAATTTTTGTCCTCGAAAATCATACTTACCAGGTAAACAGTTGCGGATAGTTCTTCCGCATCTT